TGGACGGGAACTGGATTCTGGATTGGGATCAAAGGCAGATGAACAGAGTCCTCTTGGGACACCGGCCATTGAAGAAAGAGGGACGACTCATTGATCCTTCAGCTTTTATACTGAGCACGACGCAGATGGGATGGAATACCCTGTTGGCCAGGTTTGGGTCACCTGTCCTGTCCTCTCCTCCCTGCAGGTGGGACCTGTCTATGCTTTTCCGCTTCCAACCCTCCAATGGGGCAAATAACAAAGTTAGCTGCCCTTGGGTGTTATAGCAATAAGTATAAGCAAGAGTCTCTCTGCATACCATTCCTTGGTACAAACACAGGTCTTACCATACTGAGAGTGAACAGTGTCTGCACAACGTGCTGTTAGTTTCAGTAGTTCAAAGAGGCCCAGCTAAAAAGTAAAGTTACTTAACAAAACTTGTCCTGGTTTGAGATAAAACAGGACAGCACTATATTCCAACCAACATCCCCAGAACCTGGACAGACTTTAATCTGCACACATCAACCTTCAGTTTTAGCTATTTCACAAATCACCATTTAAATCAACATCCCAAGCCAATTCCAAAATCATAGAAGTAATTAACTGTTCCCTCCCCACTCACGAAAAAACACTTAAATTTCCCCTAGAATTTGACACCATCTCTCATGTAAGCAAAGTGCCAACATACTCATCTAGCTACTCCTAGCACATATGCTTAGCTTTCCTATATAAATGTGTATGTTTGTTTCATTCCTGCTTCTTCAGTTCACTCTATAGTCTACTTCAGCTATGAGAAAGTAAAGCACCACAGTTAGCTGTATACTGGAAATTAAAAGGGGATTATTGCAGAGCTGCACAGTATAATACAAACTAATTGCTCCAGAACAGTTATTTGTAAATGAAGTAATTATTCCAGAGCCAGCTCGCAACTAGATTTATTTCCCAATAGCTTGTTCTGCAACAACATACTGTATTTAGAAGAAATTCTGCTAAGCTTTCATTATCCCAAAATGACCACTCTGGAATATAAGCAGCGGCCAATCTCCCCTGCATTTTGAGGGGCTGTAATGTTTCTGTGTTGTAAAAGCATATATGAAGAACAACAACTGGTGATGTTAACATTGCTTTAACTGATGATTTTGATGAATGTTTTAAGTACACCTGAATATAAATAATATTAATATTTATTCTTATTAAGGGTTGTGAGTGAGAAGTAAAGGTATAAGCGCATAGCTTTGCATTTACACTTTAATTCTTTTAAAAAAAAAAAAAAAGGTTGGTGAAAGGCAAATGAAAATATTTATTTACATGTGCTAGAGAGAAACAAGCAGTGCAGAAAACACCTTCAGGCCCTTCCCCCTGTACAGATCCCCATTTCTGTATTCAGCCTGAATACAAGGTCCACAGCATACTAAGATGCCAATCTGACAACGGCATGGCCATAATACTGGATTTGTATACATGCCTATTCTCAAACTGAATGTCATTTGTATGACCAAAGACAAAGTTTAAATAAATTCTAGAGTTTACCAACTCAAACTTTATCTATCCCCATTTTTCCCAAATACAACGTTTCCTTCCCCTCTTTTTTTTTTTTTTTTTCTTTCTTCTCTTTCTGGTGTCATCCAAATTCTCCCTTTTAAATTCTGTCATTTCCTGTTTCATCTGTCCCTCCAAATTTCCTACCCTTTTTGAAGACAAAATAAAATCTAGACAAGTGAAAATATACTGTAACCAGAGCTCATCCCTTTTAGCTTAGGAGTCCATCAGAAAGACTGATGTGTTTGACCTGTGTGCTGCTTCAGTAGTCAGGTTCTTTTCTCTTACTAACCAGAAATGGCCTTCATTACTGACCAGCAGAGCGAGGAGCGAAATACAGACTAACGAGAGAGGGTAAAGTCACCATTAGTCATCCATCAGATATGTGGAGAGACAAAAGAGGACCACATCAAGCAAAGGAAAGAATTCTTAGTGTAGCAGGACATGGGAGAAGAGGTATGGAAAATCCAGAAACATGAAGATGAAGGAGTGAAGAAAAAAAAAAACCACAGGTGGAGCTATTGACAGCTGGGAAAGGCAAACATCAGTGTTCCCATTAATATTGCTTACATATGAAGATTTTGTTAAATGAAATGCTGTAATATGTGTATTCAACAGGTATTGTTGGCATCTCTCACTATAGCAACAGCAATAATTGAAATGGTCTTACTAACATAGGTTAAGCATGCTATTAAGCAATTAAGGTTGTGAGGCCATGCACATTAAGACTGATTATACAGCTTCAAAACTTAATAACCAATTAGTCTAATAATTGTTTTTTAAAATCAGTTTGTTTTTCAAACTGCACTCACAACTGATTCTATACAGTAAAGGGACTAACTTTTCATTCCAGAGAAAAAAAAAAATCTTATTGGTTATATTCAAGCAAATAAGCACCAATCCTCCAGGAAGTCCCTTTCTTCCCCCTCCTCCATCATTTTTTTTAGAGAGATACCTATAAGCATCTATTTCATAGTACACCAAAATACCACATATATTTCAGAAATGAAGATACAGACTCTCCCTCTAAAAGAACCCTCAGAAAATGAAATTTAAAGTTTTCAGTGCCCAGTTTTGCAAGGACATTTAGGAAAAATATCAATAATGCAATAATTCTGGCTGAGGCTAATTTTCGAGGCCAATTAATTGTACTTGTGTGCACAGTGATGAAGCCTTATATCATCAGATAAGCCATTCGCAAGCTGGTACCAAAAAAAAAGTTTGAATAATACTAATTTACTCAAGTGAAAAGACAGACATAAGGGCCTTGTTCAAGCTCACATAAGTCTGTGTCTTGTCTATGTTTGAGAAGGAAGAAGGCACAGCTGTTTTAACACAAAGATAAGCACTTTATCACTAACGAGGGCTTATGGGGGATAAGTTAACATTCGCCAAGCACTGAGCTTCTATGCCAAGCTGCTTCTTGGCTTCTATAAGTTCAAGGACACTACAAAAACATCTAAATGGGAAGCCGTAACCAACATCCCTAAAGAAACAGAGAAATTACAAAGTGATTGAACAGCAGATTCAAAAGCAATACAAGGTAGCACCTTTCTTACCACAGCTGTAACTATTCTAGGGAACTGGCTACCAAAGACAGTAGGAAAGTCCAGAGTTTGGAAGGACTGAAAAATATCCAAACCTCACAGCAAAATCGCAGACTTAGCAGCAACATCCAACTACAGCAATGAAGAAAAACACTGAAGAAAATAAGCCTTCCAAACAACTGAGATTTGGAGAAAAAGTTTCTTTGGCAAGTAAGGGGTTTGGAGGTGGCAGATTATTCCCCAACTGCCACTGATGGGTTTCGTCCACTGGAACAGCTATTCTGTGCTGCCATTTACATACAGCAGGACATGATACCAGGGCACAGCAATTCCTGTGTTCCACCAACACTGGGAGCACCTCATTTCCAATATCACCTGAAGTGGGCATTTTTTTTCCAGTAGAAACATACTGGTGATCTTAAGACTGCAAAATGACATGTAATGTGGAACGAATTCATTAGAGTCCAAACCGCCCTGTCAGGAGAAGACCCACTTTATATCATTGCTATGTGCAGTTACACAACAGTAGTCAGAACTCTCCTTCACAAAAGACATTTCACTACAACTTGCTGTCTGTCCATCTGCAACCTGCAAACTGGCTGTTGACAGAGAGATGTTAAAACACCACTTAGTTTTCTTTAGGTATAAGTAATAGTTAACTCCTCCTCCCCAAAGAAACTTTCATAATTTGGTGATATTAATAGTATAATACTCAGAGTCCAAATGAATTCTCACCAAAAGCTATTGCTTTGAGAATTTTTTGTCAAGAGTTTTTTAAAAATAGTTTTAAAGCTGACATTTGCCTTTGCCATGATGCCTCAAAAAAATTCATGTCATGGCTAGCCAGTTTGTATGTCAAGATCTGTGCCAATCATAGCAAACCAGTCTCATGATTGATTTGTGCCTTCCACCCTAAAATCATATATTTAGATCCAGATCTTTTTCTAGTAAAGATTAATTTTTATTTCACATTAATGCAGTGCTTAGCATAACCAAGATGACATTTAGTTTCTTAAAGTGTTATCACAGTACATGAATAATAATAATTCACATCCCCCCCAAAACAAAAACCCAACCAAACAAAAAAGCCCCAAAACAAATGAAACCCCCAAAAAACCCCTAAACTTGTTTCTTTTTCAAGCAAGGACTATGTCTGAAAAATATAAGCCCACCTACACAGCTTCTGAAATTGCAAGGTATTAAAAGGACAGAGGACTGCTTAGGCAACTTTAGGACAGTTGGTATTTCTGGTTCACTGCTGTACCCATACTTCAGATAACAGCAGCGGTAGCACAAAGAGAGCATGGATATTGTGTACCCCAGGTACATTCTTCAATTCAAACCTTATTATACCAACTACTGCCAAAAAAAGAAAAATACCTTGCTTTCTGTGACGTGATGTGACAAGAGATGACAAATACCTCCAAATGTTAAAAAGTAGGCATAAGACTAATGAGTATCACCTATTAGAAATGAGAAGACCTGTATATAGTTTAGTCTGACTTCCCAATTTGCTTTCATTTTTCTTTATTTATGCATTTAAATGTGAAGGCTTGAGTCCAGGATGGCTCTAACCATACAAATATCTGGCTCCAACCAAGGAAGTCAAAACACACAGATACTTTTAAGTTTTCTTATTCCAAACTCGGTTATTTTTTTGTTTTACAGAACAAGTTGGAAAAAATATCATAAATGGGAAAAAGTACCAGATGAGAGAAAAATGAAAAACAAGTCTAGTAATAGTAACCTTAAGAAAAAAACAAAACAGAAAAAACCCACAAAAACAAAACCCCCAAACAAAAACCAAACAAAACCCACTGTGCTGCAGTTTGAATAATAGTCAAGCACATATATTAAGAAGATACAAAGTAGATCTAGTTCCCTAACATTTTCACATGGTTTAAGACACAAGGATATTCTAATAACATGTCTTACAGAAACAGGCTAAGTCCAATACTGCAAATGCTCGAGGCACAAAAATCAGTTAAGTCTGCAGAAATGTAATTTGTGGGGCAGCTGTAGAATCCAGTGCTACTAGTTTGGCAGATCTGAGAAAACTTCTACAATGCAGGAAAAGCCTGAAATGCTGCTTTTACAGACACTGAGAAAATATCAACCCTGACTAAAAACATACCCCACCCTTGCTAAAGGAAACAGATTGATTTGAGCTCAACTCTTGGCTTTCATTACATTTCTACCTAAACAAACTTCAATTTCACACACTGATTGTCACCAATGAAAAGCCCAAGACTACAAAGTTGCTGCACAAGGCCATTTTTCCCAGGACAAATCTGTTCTATTTTCCAAACTTTAAATGAAGCTTCAGAAAGTCTCTGATGCTCAAAACTGCTAACATGATCACACAAACAAGCACAGTATATCCAGATTTCAGAAGCAGAGCTTTGCTAGGAAAGCGCTCTTGAAACAGTAGCATGCCACTGTTCTCAAATACAGATTTAATCTTAAATGAATAGTGACTTTTTTTCCCCTCTTACAGAATCCTTGGAGAGGCACTCAATACAATTATGTAATGCTTACAACAGGCTATTTTCTTGGCTAAACAAGGACATTCCCTCAGAAAAATAAAAATGCGCACTTTAAATGAAGACAGTAATGACAGAATAACAGAAATGACCAGAATGCCTTTTTACCCTGGAAAGCATTATGTTCTGCAATTCTGGAAAAAGTGAGAAAAACTAACAGACATTAAATAGAAGAAATATTTTCTTCTCATACAAGACAAGTTTCTTTCCATAGCAATACTACAGTGACAAAAGAATGAACTTCAGATTATCTCTGATGTTTTGTCTCTAAACCCTTCCTTCTGGTGCTCCAACTGTATCAGCTATGTTAAAATCAAGCCCTTAAAATTCTAGATTGAAGATGCTTCAGAAAGAACTGTTGCAGCTCTGTCCACACCATTTCCCCTGCATCCACTCCCCCACCGCTTTTTAAGCACTCCTTTTCTTTCATATTTGCTTTTCATTCTTCTCCTGCTTTTGCCTTTTATTCCAAACACCCAGTAGTCTCAATAGATTCACAAGCAAAAGCCCCTCTATATCTACAGAGCCCTCCTACTCATTACTTATATCTGCATCTTGCTTACCAATTTCTGCTGCCTCTCTTAACTTCACAACTGGTTGTGCAAAAGGGACCAAGGGAACAACTTCAGCATTTAAATTCTATCAAAACTAATGAGAGTTTTGCACAGTTGTTTTACAAGATTCTTTTCAAGGCAAGAAATTAATCTTTATCTACAAATCTAAAATAATCATGTAGATCTGCCGAGTAGCTGAAATACATCATAAAGAGTTACTCAAAAATGTACTGATGGAAACTGGTAATTCTACATTTTGAAGGGGCATAATTCTGAGTCATCTTTGTAGGGATGATTTAGCAAAATGAAGTTTTACAGTGTTTTATTGCATTTGCAGAAGCCTAGTTTGAATACTGAAGACAAGAAAGAACATATTGGTCCTGTGCTGAACACAGGTTCAGCAATTCTGACCTTCCCTCATCAACCCAGTAAAGTGTTTAATGCTACCTACCTGAATCATCAGCTAATCTGCTGATCCTCTCCAACACAGCAATACAATCTCTCTCATCATCACTGACTTCCTTCAAAGTGTCCAGCAAACTTCGAGCCACCATTTGCCTAGTTTACAAGAAAGATTAAAAATTAGCATTATTTGTGTCCAGAAATACAGCCAAATCAAGAAGTTATGCAATCATACAAGTTTCTTAAACCAAACAGTAAAATTTTACATAGATTCACTTTTAACTCAGCAAATTTAGTTAGTCCTGCTTTGGGAATTCTTAATTCTGATACCTGCTGTAATCCTAAAGAACTGTTAACTTTAAATGTAACATTAAAAGTATCCCTTTGGTTTACAAGGATAAGGGAAACCAGCCACAAATATGAAAAACAGTAATCATCTGCCAAGTGGGCAAACAGAAGCTGAATGTTAGGAAGTCAGTGTCAGTCTTCATCCTCACTTACTAATTCCCTAACTTCTTCCATACAAAGCAAGACAACACCACTATTTGCAGAACAGTTTTAAACAGAATTATGCACTTATTTCACACAAAAAAGAATGAATGCTCAAGCTGAAGATTTCCATACCAACAGTGATGTTTAGAAGCTAAACTTCATTCAAATGCTGTATAGAGCAATGGGTATATACTGTGAAAATAAAATATACTAGCCCAAGTGTGTCTGGGACATATATTAAGCGAAGCAGAAAATGAAACATTAAGAAAATATGAAACAAATCAGGATCAACTCAGTTACTACTTCTAACGTACGAGAAATTTTTCTAAGGATTAACTTGTCAGTGACAAGACACAGTCAAATTTGGGGGTTTGTCCTCTAAGGTTCTATTGCAGCCTGCGTTACAAAGTCATACCCATCAACTACCTGGACAGCCCTAAATGTTAAGTTTTTAAACAACGCAGCTGGCAATGTGTGGCAATCAACCTTTCTCCTCAACAACAGCCTGCAATGGCATAACTCTTGCTTTTATCATCTTTTTGGACAATGTGGGTTGAACATCAATTCAGAGAGCTATCAGGATTATCCCAACAGTTGAATGGGCTAAGAAACAGTGTCCAACATGCTGCTAGCTCTTGCACTGCCCCGGAGCAGTTTATCAAAATGCTGAAGCAGCAAGGGTCAAGTGCCAGATATTTCCAGCGCTGACTGACGGAAACACTCTTAGGATGTAGGCTAGATATAAGCACTGCTGACAAACAGCAGTGCTGTAGATAAGAGCAGAAGCATAGCTAAACTTGGTCATGTTCACTACAAACAATGAACGTAAGCAATGGTCACAAACTGCTAAGAAACAGATGGTTACATTCCTAATGTACAGGGGAAGCTTGAGAACTTTACAATTCCATGCAATCAGAGAAATGCAGTAGGTTTTCATGAATTCCCAAAGCTAAGCTGACATTTTTGTTTTCTCAAACTGAAGATCAGTAATTTAAACATTTCACATTTGTAACTTGCAAAACTATCTTAAACTAAACTGTTTTGACATACAGATGAACAAAATCCTCTAAAAAGCAAACTGCAAAAACTATTTGCCTTTAACAAACTTCCTCTCTCTCGCTCTTTTCAACTCCATAAAAGTGCAACATCTCTCAGCAAAGATCTTGATATGCAGTTGGAAGTTCAGCTATCAAAATCCTAATGGAGGGAAACAGACTATGTGACACACTAACCTAGAAGCAGAGTTGACTTGATCTTTTAAAGGGCTGGACACCTCTGAAAAGAGAAGAGGAACAGATGAAGCATATTTCATAAACCAGCCTGCCTGGATGTATGTGTCTCCTACGTATGGAATGTAATCTTGGAAAGCAAGAGACTACTAAACTGACCCACTAAGTTGGCCTCAGCAAGTAAGGAACCACAATAAACAGCACTACATCCCATCCGGCTCCTGGGAACTATGGAATGGCTCCCTACTATGCTGGGAGTTCTGAGAAGGCTCTCACCTCCTCATAGAGCTTTATTAGCAGTATCCTGAACCATGGTGGCTGGATCTCACAGCAAGTCTTTGCTAGTTCCTGTGAGCTGGACAGAGGGCTACGTAGAAGTAACCACCTCATAAGCTGAAGGCCAGAAACCTTATATTCAAGAGGAGGAGATGAAAATGCAAATCCTAACCTAAAGTAGATATGACTTATTATTAAATCCACTCAAAGCTAAGAAGGGACATTCAACTTCTTCCCTAGACTAAACGTAGAAGATGTCCCCCACCTGCATCCAGGTGGTATTTCCCTCCTTGGCTTGTAAGAGAATCAATGGATCTACTTTTACATTTAGCAGATTCTCGTAAAAAGCATTACAACAGAAAACAACAGGGCAAGCTAAGCTCACTTTAGAAAAATCTAACTGGGTAGGCAGTCAGTAATGACAGGGTAATCTCTTAACTCCATCCATCCAGTGTTTTGGGAGACGACATCCACTCATGTACTCCAAATATTATGGGCTCTGACCTAGTTCTGCCACTATTCCCAACAATCTGTCAAAATTATTCTTGTGTCTCCAAGGTACAAACACAGGACACAGAGCTAAACCTACCTCGCATTTGCAACAGGCTGAGAGCCCACATATAGGCAACTAATGCAGAATGACTTAAGCCCTGCAAGCTTACACTTCAACATGCTCCACTTACTGTAGAGTAAGCAAGGGTCGGTCCCTGGTGCCCTGTCTAGCAGTCTCATCTTCTCATGCAAGCACTGACAGTTGAGCTACAAAAAACCTTCAACAGAGGAGTGCAATGAACTACCAATGCACAGTATTACAAGGCAAGCAGTAGCTCGCCCAGCAACTTGCCAGGTGAGTACCAGGTGAGTATTTGTGAAATTGTAACAGAGCTCTGAAGGATGAACTGTCTGGTCTAGACGCAAACAAAACAACAAAAACAGGCAGACAGGCTTCATGCTCAATAGGCAACAAGATACCTCCTGTGACAGGGAAAAAGAAAAGCAGATTTCCTCTAGGGATAATGACATGTCCCCATACACTGCATTCTAACAGGGAATCAGATTCCTCCAAGTACGTATGTGACAGAAATGACTCCACCAACATTAATAGTGACAATGTAAGTGATTTTAATGGCATACATTCTGTTACTGTACATTACTCCTGGTTATCAGGGCATGATGTGGGGCTACAATTAATGGTTTCTTGCCACTTCCCACCTGCCACTGGCTTGGGTTTGTGCAGTGCTTGCCTCTAATGAGATACCAAGCTCCACTAAGAACTTCTACCTTTACACATTCTCAGTGCCAGCAGAGCTGTCTTCATTGCAACAACTAATAGAATTGCATCTTTATGCCCATTCAGTCAGATCTACGAGATTCCTCGAGGTCCAAAGAGACTTTTGCTAGTTGCTCTGGAAAGCAAAGCTTCAAATCAATAACCCTACAGCTGTGAACTCACAAAGAAAATTATTTCTTATACCACTGCCACCTATGCAATGCATCTATTTATCCATTAAATAGCTTACAGGCAAAGAAAGGGCAGAGGTCAAAGGCTGGAAT